CACTATCCGGTTGCATTTTATTGTCGGCTGAGTTATTCCCTCATCTGGAATGATGAGAACGAGAGAAGAAGAGAATATTGCAAGGGGGGGAGCTGAAGAAGACGCGAAAGGGGTTGAAAAAGAAGAAGACGACCATTTGCAATTAAACACGGCGTAAGTCCCGCTCTGAGGATAATGCCCTGGAATGCTGATAATTGGCTGAACCGTCCGGACGACCCGAGACGAAGGGCCCACAGGTGCAGCTGGCACGGCATCGCGAGATCATCGGCTTGCGATCCCTCGTGTTTAATTGATTCGAAGTGATTTATATTATGTGTCGTTCCTCTGCACCTCCGGCATTCTCCGAGCACCGAAGCGATCATCAAATACTCAGACGGATTGTCATTCGAGAATGGAAAATATTACAAGATGCGAAATTGAACGGCCTTCGATCGTACAATTGTATTTCCACAAAAAATTTTCGTTTAATATAAATGTGTCTGACGTGAGGTCTGCCTCAGTCCAAATATTAAAATCATTATATTAGGTGTTAATTAATTCCTGCCGTTTTTCGTCTCCAAAATTGATTTGTTTCGAAGGGAAGATGAATGAATACCTTAATCAAAGTAATTTCCTCCATTTTCTACTTTATTACTAATTAATAATACTTTGATTAAGGTATTTCCCTTCGAAACAAATCAATTTCGGAGATGAAAAACGGCAGGAATTAAGTTTAACACCTAATACATATAAAGATAAAATATAGTTATATATTGGATTGTTTGGCAAAGATAACTGGTCGTAATAGTATAAAACAAATATTTTTGAGATCGTGATTGTTGAAAATGAAGAAATTGGAAATTCATTATTAGAATTAAGAGATCTTTCTTTCTTTCTATCTCTTTTTCTCTTCTCCCTTGCGAAAATAATTGAAGATTTACTGCAACAGTTATAAAAAATATGGATCTTCCCACTGTGGGTTAATCTACTGTTCCCATCTCTTTAACTTTAAAGTTATTTTCTCCGTTTTTACGGAAAATGTGGATTAGCTCACTGTTGCAGTAAGCTCTTCAATTTTATAAATATTATTCAGAAATATGGATCTAAAGTATTAACGTGCGGTAATTTAATAAATTAAAATAATTTTCCTGATGTTTTAAAGATAGATAATTTAGGCTGTCAGTCATGATTTAAAAAACTTCCTAAGTATTTTTTTTTTTTTTTTCGATAGTCGTTCAGATTCAGAATCGATCTTAACGGCGCCTCGTGGTCCGGAGGAGCGGAGGAGGCTGCGAAAAAAAGAGCAGTTCACGGGTCTCTCGTAAACGATCCGGCCGCGTGAGCTCGAAAGAGTTCGATGCTTCCGTCATGTTAAAGGGCCGATGCGTTGGTTCGAGCGAAGGTTGGAGTCGGAGATAGAGCGAGCGATCGATCTCCGCTCGTGAACGAAGAAGCGGTGAATGCGGCCACGCCGGGAGCCAAGAGAGGAGAGCTAGCCGGGCCTCTCTCCCGCTCTCGAAGCTCCGATATCAGATCGCTCGTATAAAACTATCGTATCGTTTAAATACGCACTGAAAGGTGAGGCGATGCATCAGAAGATACGCGAGCGATGGCAGGCAGCCTCCTCTCTTTCCTTGGCCTGCGTCCTCCTGTTCCGTCCGCGCTGTCGATCCGCGCTGAAGATACCCGCCTGGAATCCATGGGAACCACAGAGAACCGGGCTTAACGCGTATAACCCCTCCCTGGCGTCACAGTAGAGCCCACCACCCGGACCTCTTGTACCTCATCTCCGCGTTTCCCTCCGGCTTTCTACCCTCGATACATATATGCCCATTCTTCCTTTTTCGTTCGAGCTTCTTTTCTTATTTTATTGTTTTATGACAATATTGGATTATAAAGCGCGTATCATTTGGTTTAGAAATCTAGAGATTTTAACGGATTACGTGAGAAATTTTTATTAGATTAACATAAATTCGTAGAATATATTATGATTAAAGTGTACAAGATAATAAAAGTAAGAGGTAAAAATAAAATAGTAAAAACGATAACAATATATTGTTATTCTCTGGCGGCACATCGACCGATATTATCGACATCACTGTTTATATTGGGATAATTGACAGAAGATCGCGCATCAAGTTTCTGAAAAGGAGATGCGATCGCGGCACTATTCTGCATTGCCGATGCTTCGCTGCTCGATATTCACGATAGCTACCGATTCCGTTCTTCCCCTTTTCCTTGGAATCCGTAATTGGGCGGGCATTCCACGTTATGAGTTAATTCCGGCGTGTCGGTATCGGCAGAGATCATATCGACGCGAAGATCAACACGAGACGATCTTGGTTTTCTCGATCGGTATTTCGCAATAAAATTAAATGAAAGGCGATATCGTCAATTTAACGAGGAGATGGATCCTTTTTGGATTTTGCCTTAGACTTGTATTATATGTATATCAGTATGATGTTCACGTATTGATATATAATTAAAAATTTTAAAAATTAAAAATTATTTCGTCAGGCCTTAATGATTTGCAGTATATTATAAAATTATATAAAGACGATAAGAATCTTATTGGATCGTATACATGTAAATACACAATCAATAGGAAATGATGGAACTAAAGATCCAGCTTCGACCGTTATGAGCTTTATTTCCTATTGGTTGTGTATTTATGTGAAGACATTGGGTATATAATCATATAGAACTGAATGATGTAATATATTATATTTCAGAATATAATTAACAATCTATACATTCGCTCGTTTAATCAAGATAAAATAAATTTTTTAATCTTTAAACATATATATATTTAATATCCACACATTAATGTAATATACATGTATATATTAATATATTATACATATATGTATAAATAATATATACACTATTAATTAAATATCTATAATTTACACAAATACCTTAATTTCTGAAATAAATAAATATGTATACACATATTATAATATGTACATATTATGTATATATATGTATATATATATTATATACACATAAATATAATATATAGGAAAAATAGTAATATTTAGAATAGTTTACAAGATTATTTCTTTAAGAATTAAAGAAATAAAATGCATTTGGAGAGAATGCGGAAAGAGAAAGGTACTCTATAGTTTTGCAAAAAACCGGATGCTTGTGAAGACTATATATAAGAAACAATGGCCAGCTGGGGCGGTGGCGATCTTCCGTTTTGAAAAGGGGTGAAATTCGGCGTTGTGTGCATTGTCCGCTTAATGATTGAGTGGAGACATGACAAGTGAAACCAAATACACACACACATCACGAGGAATTGCATCGGACGACTAGGGCGTGAGTCTCCGTCGTACACCTATTGCAATCAGACAAGCGTGAGCCCGAATTGTGGGACCGATGGGCGTTTGCTTCTAAGGCCTTCAACATTGACGATACCTCTTTTATACTGGCGAGCTGATCTTTTCGTATGGCCCATTGGCGATCGGTACCACCCACATCTCACGGAACTACCAGATAGAATTTGCAATTCGATATCTTTAGACGAGGGTTGTGTACGAATTTAAGGTGAAATGATTGAAAGAAGCTTAGAATATTTGTTTTATATATATATATATATATATATATATATATATAGAGCCTTCTAGAATCACTAATTTTTATTTTGTGAAGACAAATTTTTTAATAAATTTAAAATAAATTTTTTTTCTTAGAAAGGATATATCGAGGGAAATGATCGGTTATTGCACTTTTTATCGCGCAATGTTAAATTTAGTCAAAATATGTTATCAGGTAAACGCTGGTTAAAAAGATATAGTATAATAATTTTAATGTATATGTATTAAAACTATTATACTATGTTTTTTAACCAGTATAATATTATTATAGTATGTTTTTAATCAATATATGTAAAACCAAATGATATCGACTTTAGAGCTAGATGATTTTTTTAATTATTTACGTAATCATTCGAAATCTGGTGAAATCACGACACTATTGAAATATGTAAATGTTCGCAGTTGCGAATAGTAATTTCTTATATCCAGAAAAAAACTAAAGAAGCGTTAACCGTGTATCATTATATCGATTAATTGACACGTACCGACTTCCTATAGATGTTGCTATATAAGTAATTACTGCATGCATACTGTATCTAATGTTAAATTATACCTTCCATCGCTAGTCCATTCTATATTTGACACTCAGATAACGATGTACCAAGATCTAATAACTATATGAATTGACGGTTTTCGTTCTACATAGCTTGTTCGCGATTGAATACTGTCGTAATTACAGATATGCCTTCACAAATTAAGTGGCCTAAATTATTCAACCAACTAGATTATTCAACCTCTACAAGACGTGTTTATTAAGATATCACTAGAAGTTTCTAAAACCGAAGTCTAATCGGGAAGTAATACGCTAAGTAATAATTTAGATTATACACCATTCTATCACTTATTTATACGTTTCATACTGCATATATTAGGAAATGAATACATAACAATTACATAAAAATATTGCAAATATATATATTTTTATTAATATATATATATAAACATTCAGGTATATATTATATTATGAAAATTGTATAAAGAAGCGATAAATTTTATTAGAAGATTGTTACGAAATTTTTTTATCGAGTCAATTATTTTTGGCAGATGTTATTTAGAACGATATCATTAATTAATGTATTCCAAGAGTCCGGCACGCACATATGTTAGAAGGTTCTAAATTGTCTTATTCGCCGGCTGACGCGTAATCCGATTTGTTTCTCGGGCAATCTGATTGCGCGCGACCTTCTTCAACTTTCCTCGCCTAACCCTTGCCGACGTTATCTTCCGACATCCTCCTTCGTTTGAGACTCTCTGCGACCGGGAAGATTCTTGCTGATTTTTTTATTACCACTCGCTTACCGCGCACATATGCGCGCCGGGCGCGCCTCTTCTTGTTTCGCGATCGGTGATTTACGTTGCGGACCACGCTACCACGGTAATAGTCCATTAATTGATCTCGGATTCCCCTCCATGTGCCTGCAGATACGCGAGAGACGGGTTTCGTGAACGCCATCACCGCCGCTGGAGTTACTTATGCGGTTACCAGAGCCTGCACTATGGGTGACCTCGTGGAATGCTCCTGCGATAAGATGACGTCGAAGGGTAAAAGCTTACTCTCTTTTCCTTTGTGATTTAATTCGCATATCGATTTCCCATTAATTTCTCATCGGAATTTACAGTAATTTATAGGCTTTTAAAAATCCATTAATACTGAAATTATTATTACTTTTTTACATAAATTTACTTTTTCGCATAAAAGGTACATTTATATTTACTTTGAGAAAAAGCGTAACACTAGCGTAACATTATTTTCGTAAGTTCTTCAAAATTGAAGTAGAAATATCAATAAATTTTTTTTTTTAATTTTAAACGTCAAAAATTCCGGATTATATCATTTTCCTCGCGATTAATATTTTAAAAATAGGAAAAAATTACAATTTCCGCAGGTAATCGTCTGGCTAAATTTGCTCGTACGATCGAAGCGAAGAAAAGTTTGCCGACGGAAGGGGACTGGGAATGGGGAGGATGCGGCGATAACGTAAACTTTGGCTTTAAAAAATCCCGGGAATTCATGGATGCACCATATCGTAAAAGAAGCGATATTAAAACGTTGGTAAAGCTTCATAATAACGACGCCGGTCGTCTGGTAAGTTATTTTTATATTTATTCTCCATTTATACTTCTAATTTTTTATACGTGCATGCGCTTTTATTTAATTGATTTTATTGTCATTTTTTCATCATATACGTGATAATTAAAATCAATTTTGAAATCAATCTTGTGCTCAATTGTCCAACGGAAGAACCATGTTCTATTATTTATAAGATAATATTCGAAATATTTTGCATTTTGCATTTTAAATCCGAACCAATTATCTTCCAATTTCATCGTTCTTGATAATGTTTATTTTCAAGACTCTAGCAAACATTATTTTAACAAAATTAAAAGATATGTTTTAATATCATTATATAGGCTTTATCTTAACGAGAACCTTACAGTCGATACTTCTTTTAATTATTGAGTCTTTAATATATTTGGGTTTGATTTCTGTACATAATTGTTAGAATTTAAAAATCCTCAGCCTTTGTTAAAAAGATAAAATAGGTATATATGTTCCTACCCGACGTGCTATGTACATTCGCTCCTCAGGCCGTACGCAACTTCATGAGGACCGAATGCAAGTGCCACGGGCTGTCTGGCTCCTGCACGGTGCGCACTTGTTGGCGCAAGATGCCACCGTTTCGGGAAGTTGGCAACCGCCTGAAGGAGTCCTTTGACGGCGCGGCCAAAGTCATTCCCAGCAACGACGGCCATAGTTTCATTACTGAGGGTCCCACGATCAAGCCGCCCGGTAGATTCGACTTGATCTACAGCGAAGATTCGCCAGATTTCTGCAAGCCGAATAGGAAGACTGGCTCCTTAGGGACGACAGGTCGTCAATGTAATTCGACTAGTCCTGGGGTCGAGGGCTGTGAGCTCCTCTGCTGCGGTAGAGGCTACGACACCAGAATCGTCAAGGAGAAGGTCAATTGTCAGTGTAGGTTCCGGTGGTGTTGCGAGGTCACGTGCAATACGTGTCTTGTCAAGAAGACCGTCAACACTTGTCGCTAGTGTCGACGTAAGTGAAAAACTTGTATCGATATATGATAGTGTTGAGAATCGAGTTGATGCGATAGTTTGTCCTGCATGTGTTAGTGGAAGATTAGAGTGAAGTTGAGGAGACAATGAATGATTTATATTTTTTGCGCAAGTCCTATTGACGTGTGCCATAACGATGGACTAGAAAACTATATAATTGAAGAGTTTCGTAGAGTTTTAAAAGTTCTATAGAGTTTTGCAGAGAACTGCGATGTTAAAATATATTTTTATAACAATGGGAGGAGTAGGTTATCGAGCTTTCTCTCATTTGTTTTTTAGTAATTGCTGAAAAACGTTAATAAATTAGTTTTTATTAGCATTCAGTGTGTTCTGAGATTGTTCAGTGTCGATGTTTAGCGCGATTGAAACTTTTCGACTTCTATCGTTGCCATTGACTCAATCGTCTCTTTCTCTCGACACGTTCGTGATATACGCCTTATTACGTAATAGCATTTGTAATATATCAATTTCTAGAATATGACTTGATCGTGAATATTCACTGACGAATATTCAGACGATATGTGATTTACAATTTATCGTGATCACACAGGGCTGGATTAAATCTAGGTTAGCGAGAAATACGTATGTAAGATTTCTGAAGAGATTTATTGTGCGTGACGTGTGTAAACGCGAGAAGTGGGATTATATAGGGACGTCAGTAGTACATGCGCGAGCCAAGTCAGACGCGAATCGCGAATGTAGCTAGGCGCGATTTATCGTGTTTTACAAAAAAATATATATCTTTGACTATATATCTATGAATTGCTGATGATCATAAAACTGGAAATTTTGAACACAGACCCGTATATTTATTTTTATATTTGACACAAAGCGTGGCAATTATCAATGCTGGCGATATAGATTGTGGTCAAAGATTTTTATTGTTATATAATCAGGGCAGGTTCTTGTTGCCTTCTAGACTTTTGTTATGCGCGATATAAGATTGCTACTTTCTGCGAGCTGATGATAGAATAATACAAAGAATTTACGTTATATTAGATAAAAATGTTTTTCTTAACAAAATATCATTTTGATAACAAAATAGCGTTTAAATTATCTTAACAATAAGTATTGTTGAGAAAAATATAATAATAGAAATCTGTTTTTCATGCAACTTTGTATGTCTTTTGATAAAAACACATCGCTCTGACAAAGCCTGATGGACTTTCTGGTATGTAGAATCGACTCCACATGTAGTTGTTACTAACATCGCCTACGCTTTCTCTCTGCGCAAGGCGATCATGTTTCGGGCTTTCCACGTATCTCCAGTGCTCGTAATATATAATTAAGGTATACATATAAGATAACGTAATGAATTTACGTAATATCCGTCATGACGCATATCCGTCAAAGTATCGCACCGTTATCCATATAGCAATGCCTGGTGAATCGCTTTTCTGCTTAAAATCGCTACGACTTTGAGCGAAGTCCCAAGTAACAAATTCGATTTTAGTGGTATCGAAAATAATTCAATGATATTGAATTTTTGTACAAACTTTTTTTATTATATCCACATTGAAAAAAAGGATTGGCTGCTGTAGCAAATTAGATGGTAAAATATGGCATAATATTTTTAATTGGTAGCAACAATTTTTGGTTGTGTCAGTCTCTTGAAATTCTATACATTGCGGATAGACTAACGCAATCTAAAAATGGCGGCTGCAACCAAAAATTGGCTGCTACAGTCAATTAAAAATGCTATGCCATATTTTACCATCTAATTTGCTGCAGCAGCCAATCTTTTTTTTCAGTGCAAGAAGAACTCGGGACTTTGCTTTCGTTTGACGCGTATCATAATTACATTGCTTTCCCTTTGCGTGACCTAAGCTTTGTGCCATACGTTACGATTCGATCGATCAATGTTTACGCGTCTACCAACGAGATATACGTATTCTCTCGATTTTTGGATAAACACTCCTTATCAATTCTTAAACTATACCTCGTTACTTATTTTTCTTAGCTTATTTTTCTTGTTTGTGTATATAAGACTGATCTATTAAATACGGATAAAATTATATTCACGGATGAATCTCGTTTGTTATTATTAAGATTAATCAATTTATCTGCAGTGACGATTTATCTTAGGAAAAAGAACAAATATATAAACAATTGTATTTTAAATTCCAGTTTATTCAATCCAAGTTTATTTCAAATGAATTATCTCTTTTGTAATACTGAGGTAACAGGTAAGTAATAGTATTATATATTTTTTTATTTAAGGATAACATATGATAGTAATGCATGATGATTTCAATACCTATATGTATAAAATATTTGACAAATATCTATATATTTTAATTTAAACGCGTAGAAGACTATTTGCAAAAGTAATAAAAGTGTGTAAAGATCTGTGCCATATAAAATTTATCTGTTTGCACATTAGTTTTATTGTTGTCTTTAGAATTTAAGCCCGTTAACAATCTTCAGTTTATTGTTGACGTTAGATATTCACTTGGTTTACTTTTCTTCCATTCTTTTTTATTCTAATGGTAACTGTTATTTGAACAGGATTCTTCAAAATCTTTGGTCAAACTTAGAATAAAAAAGAGTGCTAAAAGATTAATCTCGAAAGATGTTTGACACGTTCTCGCACGACGAGGAATTTTTTGTCCCTTCGTGCTTGGAGATGTGATAATAGGGATAAATTAAGGAAACACCGAGAATTAGGAGGTCTCGTATATCAAGGCGCCGTGTAGAACACGGGCTTTTACCTGTAATTCAGGTTTATACACGACAGTCACACGGGCAGTAAAAAGGACTACTGCCATTTTTTGTAAAATAGTTTTACGGCCACCATCAAGAGGAATTTCGCATAACCATAAAGGTTGCTGAAGGCTCGCGCCATATCGCGTGCATCCATCGTTTCTTGGCGATAGCGGAAGCCATAAACTGAAAAAATTTCTTTCCCTTGTTTTATTTTTACATTTTCCAGTCTGCTGGCGCGACAGTTTGTTCAATTGTAAATTTTTGAGAACTAACAGATCTTATATTTTTATATTATATATTTTTACTTTTATAAATGTATATTATTGAAGAATACCAGCGATTAATGTTGGGCTAAATTAAGAAGCATTAAATATTAACAATGATCATCTTTTCGATGTTTATTTTAATTTTATGTTTAAAACAATAAATAATATTATCAGGAAACATAGCTTATGAAACATATGGACTTATTTTTCGAAGAACATTTTATTTAATTTTTTTTTATTTCAATTAACATTTTTATGGCATAATTTATTAAAACGTATATTTTTTATGCATTATATGTATTTGTCCATCCCAAGATAGATATATTATAAAATAAGTAAAGAGTCGTAGTTTAATAATTAAACATTAAATAGCTGCAGCATTTTTAAGTCACAATCTAACTGGGGATATATTTACAGGACGTTTCCTGCATAATATCACGAACGTCCGAGATTACTTGATCAACAGCGATTTACTACCAACGGTTCCATACATTCCCACACAAGCTACCCTTCCCTCCCCCTCCCCCCCCTAAAAAACCCTCCTTAAAGAAAAGACTCTTAGAGAGGCGAGCTTACACCCTCCAATTTAATACGTGACGCGGCACGGCACGGCGTGCGAGCGCGTCCGGATAAAAGTCTCTTAATAGAGAGGTCGACCTCTCGGAGGTACGAAAGTGGTGAGGCGCAATTAGCCCCACCAAGGGGGACTGTCTGGACTCGATTAGCCCATGGCCAGGAGATTGGTCTGCCGCGGGACGACTGGGTGGTCCGAGCGGGGTAATTTTCGGCTGCCGTCGACGTTCCCCTTCGGGGGAAAAATGGCCCCTCGAAATTGGCCCTGGAGTTACCGTGTGCCGTCGGTCGGTCCGCGACGCCATTTTTAGAATCTCCACCTTGCCCTCACCTCATCCCTCCTCTCGTCCCCTCCTTCCGTATTTCTGATCCTTGTCTCCCCGGGGCCGAGAAGCGGAGACTCCTCCAGAGAGAGGAGAGGCTTCCCGGTAATTCAATTTTGGGAAAAAAACGCGGTACACCGATTATTACGCGCTGATGAAAACATTGGATCATCAGGAACGGTGTGAGAATGCGGTTTCGGTCTTGGTTTTACCATTAGCTCTATCAGAGAGAACGAAATGAAATGATATAATTTTATTGATTTATTGAATATACCAGACATTACGAAAATAACGATAATTACATAGAGAGGAGTTGATATATGAAAATTATTTTATCTATCTTTTAGGAGATATTTCATAGTTGATATTTTTACGTTAGGATTATTACTTTTAAATTGAAATGAAATCGCGAGCCGTTTCAAATCGCGCTAATTAAAGTCCGGATTAATTAAGTCTAATCTAATATTCTTTGCTTATCGTTTTCTTTGCTATTCTACCTGATGTAGACAGAGAAAACCAGAAAACAAATATATTAAGTTGAAGTTGTAGTTCTTAAGTGAACCGGACCCGAGACCGGCACTTCAGATGGAGTGTGGAGGATGGACTCTCGCAAAATGCACATACGAGGAGTTTTACGTACGACGGGAACTCTCCCACGGCGTACGACTGTCCGACACCGTTCCCGGAACGATTAGGCGCGGAACAATGGAGCCCGCGGAACGCACGTGGGTCGTGACGCGCGACAAAACCGCAAAATGCGACCGTGATTAATCGGCCCTGGCCGCCCTCTTCGGCCGCGCAAGAACACGTCGTACCACGGGAACACGCCGTGACTCTATTTTCTTCTCTCCGAGGCCCCCATGCCTCACTCGCGCAACCCTCCCGCGAGCGTGCGCTTAATGCGCGAGCACTCGCCCGTTCCACGTCTCGTGGAAGCTGATGATAAATTTCCACGACAACGAGCGTCCGTTCGTACCCTTCCTCGCGCGTCTCGGATAGGTGCAGCAACCTCCGTCGCATTTTTCACGAATGTTCGTATACTGGATGTAATACGGGAGCAACGTTAGGACTTGCGACGCAAAGTCCAATGGTTATATGGTTCAAAACCGTATAATACTTTTATGTATTTATCATATATACTTCTTTATTCTTATCTTAATTTTGATTTTAATAAATCATTTTAATAAAAATTTGGAAATAAAACATGCGCACAAATTACATTACATAAAAAAAATGATGATATTATCATTATTGTTATATTAAAAAAGCTTGTTTGACCTAATTTTAAATGCCGCCTATCTGGGACTTTAAAATGCAAATACATTACGATTGTGCATTATAGCATATTATACAATACATAGAAACAATGAAATTCAGATATATGTGTAGATTTTACCTAAAGTTTGCACATAAATATTTAAAATCGGAGTACCAACCTTTGCATAAAGCATAAGCACTGAGAAAAATGTCTGGTGGAATTCTAGTTAAAAATGGATGAATCAAAACTTTCTAATTAACTCTATTAGAATTCTAGTTGAGATAACCGGAATTCTGATTGATATAATCAGAATCTTCTGGTTCGTTCATTTTCAACCAGACATTTTAGTGAGAAAATCAAACCAATCAGAAGCCTTTATTTCACGGAAAGGAATAAGACACTTTGATTAATTTATTTTCTTATGTATTATGCTCAAGTCGATCTGTGCTCTTGTCCTTAGGAATAAATTCATAGATATAGAGGAATAAAGAGGGACTGTGTATTTCCTGATTTTAGCATCTCCATTAGAAAGAATCGAGTACATAGCATCTCTTTTCAATTCGATACTTTAAAAACAGCGAGTGATATGTTTCAAGCTATCTCACTCTTTCTAAACCGATGTGACAACTTCAGGAATGCACAATCTATTCTTATTACGTCTATAAATAGATCTTATTGTTAGATGCTTTGTCATTATCCGATAATTTTACGATCAATAATAACAATCCTGATAGAAATGTATGCAGTTTTCCTAGACACCTATCTAGTTACTATCTAATATTACTGTATTCTCATTAGTTGTGCCAATACTGTAGGCACAACTAATGAA